AAATTTTGAAGTCTATACTGTTTTGATACATCAGGCCTAGTTCGCTGTATTGTAAACTTTATTTTCCTAATTATTCGGCACGTGATTACATTTTCTAAAGTGATTTGGTATGAATTACATAACTGTCAAAAGTGATTTAATATCTTAGCAAAGGAAAAAAAAACTACAAACATTGGTTTAATACATGGGAGAGATAAAAATCTGTTATTATAGTGGAAAGTTTGACATTAGCTTATAAACTCCAAAACATTTGTGTTATTATGTGTACATCACATTATATAGGCCTTTATATATACATATATATATATATATATATATATATATATATATATATATATATATGTATGTATGTATATATATAATGGAAAGGCCCCCGCGCGGATGGTTGGCCCTAGGCCCCGCGTATTCCTAACGCCGGCTCTGGACATTTGAGATGGTATTCTTGGTCAAAAACAAAATTTTCTATGAATTTTTTAATTGTTTGATTTTTTTCTCTTTTGTTAATCTCTGAAAATAAAAATTACCAAAATGCATTTTTGTAATTTTCAATTATTTTCTCTTACTTTAGAAAGATTAATTTTAGATGACAAAAAAAAATGGGGATAGATATACATACTTTGGAGAAACTTTAACAATTTCTGCACCTCTATTATTTTAGAAAATATTGGTTCTTAAAAGTTGCACTTTTTGAAAGTCAGTTTTTACTCATTTTGCTTTTTTAAAAATTGCCTAACTTTTTATTTTGTTGAAATATTTTCATCATTTTTGTGTCACGGAGATTAGAGTAAAATATTTTGTCAGGAAACTCACTACAGATGTCTACAATCAATAGCTAATTTCAGTTTGGACTACCTACTTAAAGGGAGGAAAAAAACCAACCTCCTTGAACAGGTTTATTTTAAAAGTCTATGTGGAAAAGTAGGGACAGCGAGGAAAACATTAAGAAAATAAAATATCAAAGAACAGTGAAGAGCAAAGAAGTGATAAAAAATTAGAGAAAGTAACAACATTATACAGTAACAATTAGGTTCCATTATGTTCAGTGAATGGGACAGTGTGGCCTAAGTGGTAGAGCACTTTGCTGCTAACCCGAAAGTCTCAAGCCCAAGTCAGATGAGTGTCCCTGTGTCCACCCAGCTCTGATGGGTAGCTAACTCATGTTAGGGAAAGTAAAGGTGGCTGGGCAAAGTACTGACCATACCTTCCCTTCATATGCAGAGGCCAAGAACCATACAAACTCTACTTTATCTGCCCAATGGATCGCTAGGACTAAAGAGGATTCTTTACTTTATATATTGGTTGAAGTTTAAGTTACGTTAGTTTAGGAGATAAAGAGTAACGTTAAGATTGTAAAGAGGGAATTAAAGTGATTGAAAGAGCTTAGCATTAACAGTGAGTAAGTGAACTAAGCGAAGCTCCTTTACCCTACACTGGGCTCACACCACCACAGGCATCTTACATAAGCTCAAGTTAGCTGATATTCAAGGTAAACACATTTTATAAAACCAATTAATTTCTTTGCATCATCCTTTATTATGTTATTAAACAATATTTGTCTTTTATCAATATAATTATTTAAAAACATGTAACATGAAAAACTAAGGTAGCATTTTGGGGTCTGGAATGGGTTAATGGCATTTCTGTTAGTTTCCATGGCAAAAGTTGCTTTGAGATATGAACAATTTGACATACAAGCAATGTTATGTCACAAATTAAAGTCATATCATGGTGTATCACTGTATATGTATGTTTTTTTTAAATTTATTAATGTATTTACCCCCCCCCCCCCCCCCCCCCCCATTAAAACGCTGTTTTATAAGCATACAGTTGAGAGTTAACAACCAAAAGGAGAATCTCAATGAGTTAAACCTTTTTTGTCAATTATATATTTTTAAAATTCTAATAAAAACTCCTCAATACTTCAAATGGAGTTGGGTGCAAATGTCTGGGAAAGAAAAAAATTGGAGCAAGGCAACTTTTAAACTGACTTTACAGCCATTCATTTTTCAAAAAATAAATCCTTAATTATACTTACTAGTGGTTCGTTGTTTTTTATAAGCCTTACAATTTTAATGATTGTTTCATCTTCTCCAGTGCCACAAGGAATAGGATCTATTCTTGGTTCATAATCTTCACAGGCTATTTTGTCATGGCTAAACAAAAGAGCCTGTGGAAAAACAAATGTGAACTATTGCTATTATAAATATTTATACAACAGAATAATTAAAAAATATACAACTCCTGTAACTATGTATGTTTAATTACAAAATGAACATAGAATAGACTTCTAACTATTCTATTATTTCACAAACCTGCATGTGTGGTTTAGACAAGATCCCTAATAGCTCGCGGACATTGGGGTCCTCTATTCTGTATCTTATTTCACAGTAAACCTTAAAACAAAACAAAATATTTTTTTAAACTTTGGTATTATTCTGTAAAGGTATTGGCTTAAATATGTATCATGTATTGTGTGAAAACATTTTATATAACAGTGAAATAGAGTATACAGGTGAGAAATAAAGCACGTCTGTTATTTATTTTTTATATGGCTTTATAGCCTCACTAATGATAGTTATGTTTTTCATTATGTAAGTGGTTAAATTCAGCCATTTACTCTCTTTGCTATTTATGCTCATCTTTTTGGGTCAATTAAATTTACTTTCTCATTAATGCTACATTTTATTCCTGAACATAGTTGACATGAAATGGTACTTGATAACTTATTACTTTTGCTTAAGTTTTGTGAAGGCTTTTCACTTTCACCACACTTTACTCACTTTCACAAGCCATTTAAAATAAAACCTGCTTGGGTTTGTTACTTTCTCCTAATTAGAATGTTGTTGAAATGAGTTAGACAAGTCTTATTTTATAGCTGCAATGCATGATCAATTGCAACTTTATTGGAATGCTTCTGTTCCATTAACCAATGGGTCTGGTTCCTCTTATCTAAAATTTTACTCATATAACAAAGTAAAATATCGCTCCTTCTACTGCTTGTATCTCCAAAAAATCTTGTATGAGAGGGTAATCTATGTTGAGGTACCACAGTATTCCTGAACTATGATGCCATTTAAATGTTAATACTACATTAAGAGCAACTGTAATGGTGTTGTAAGAAAAAAATCCTAATTGTCTAATTATCAATCCAAAAGTTATTTCTAACCTAATGATCAAAATGGTACATGAAGTAGAGTTTTTTGTGTCTGTGATTTTTAGACTAAAACAAATGGAACACTTTACAAATTCAAAAATCTCAAAGATGTAACAAGCATTTCTTTAAAAATTATACATGAAATAATAAAAGCAATCTAAAAGCTTAATTATCAGACCATAGTAAACATGAATATATCTAGTGGGAGCCTCCAGTCAACATAAGAATTAAAAAAAAATAATAAAAAATACCACTGTTCCATTCAAACTGCTGTAGTCAATATAACAAAATGCTATATCAGTGCATACTAGCTCTTAATGTCATATAAGAGTATGTGCATGCTATTATTGTCTAAAAAAAGCAGCTGATGAATTTTTATTTTGAGTACCATTATTTGTAATATAAATAATCTTTTTTTTAATGCATTTAAAAACAAGTTTTTATAAAGATTTTTATGCTTCTTTCTCTTTAAATCACTAAATTAATGTGTAATTAAACTGTAAAATAAACATTCTTGCATTCTATTAACTGAATTTATCTAGAAAAATTTAAACAAATTGCTTTATAAAAAATGGTTCAAAATGGAATTACACCACCCAAAAAAGTTTGTAAAAAGAAGATGAAGCAAGAAAAGTATCAACAACATTTAGAAAAATGTATAATAGTACTCAGTTGCCACATTCTAGGAAGAAAAGCTGATGCCTTATTTTAAAAATGATTTCATCATTGCGTTACCAATCATGCATTTTTAGACACATAACTTTTTTATTCTTTAACTGGGTTTGTCCACACAACCACACAGATGCCCCAAAAGTCTTGAGTATATGTTAGTCACCCCTTGGCAGCCGCCCATGTGTCAGGACATCATCGACACTCTGGGGAGAAACAGGTTACACTACTGCAGTACCACCCCTATTTGGTTTAATCATCAAAGGTTGTGTGCCACTGTACTGTATGATTCTCTTTAAAAAGAATGTATGCACGATAGTCCTCATGGGGGAACCAGAGTGCTGCAGGCCACCCTACGACTTGATTTGATTTAGTGAACAGTTATAGTAGCCAACAGTATCCATAGTGTATCACACTCTTTACCTTGAACCTTGTCTGTGTAGGTCTTGGAGTTGGAGACATGTCTCTGTTCCATATAAGAAAACTGCCTTGACATTGAATTTAGAATCTTAATTTTTGTTGTGTTGGAGATGGCAGAATTTTTCCACAAGGGTCCTAGATATGTAAAAGCATAGCAGCTCTATTAATTTTAGCACGCATGTCCTCCTGTGTGCCTCCTGATTGGCTGATCTTGCTGCCAAGGTAGACAAATCCCTACACATCATTTACACATCTTACTATTGTTACTGGGGCCTATTAGTTCTCTTTACTTCTATATTCTTTTTATTTATCTTATGACATACTCGGTGTGAGGTGGCTCCTAATTCATCAACTTTGGCTTGCATTTCTTGCAGCTGGTGTAAGAGTAGGGCATGATCATCCGCAAACTCTAGATCCTCCAGTTTTGCCATGAGTGTCCTCTGTATACCTTTTCCAAAACGGGCATAGGCTGTGTGCATCACCAAATTGAAAAACACCAAAAAGAAATGGGGTGACATTAGACATCCGTGTCTAACATCTGTGTTATACCCCTCCATTTTCCACACTGAGATAAGTCACCACTCTTTGACATCTTCAAAAGGAGGCCCTTCTTCCTGTCAGTTGGGATCTGGTCCATGCTCCAGATTAAGTTAAGTAATTTATGAATTTATTTATTATGGGATGTCCGATTAAATTTAGTGGATGTATTTATAGTATAGTGCACTCTTTAAAATGAACATAGGCACCATAGTGCTCAGAGCGGAGCCAGGGGCTCCAAATCACACCTTGCCAGAGCAACAGAGGCATTCCTGTTCCATTTAATGAATGATTATAGTAGCCCATTGCATCCATAGTATATCACACTTTTTAAAACAAACATAGGTGCCATTGTGCTCATGGGGGTGCTAAATCGCACCCAACTGGAGCACTGTGGCTCCAAAATATTTTTCCACGAAGAAACCTTCCCAGGAGTATTCTTAACAACTTTCCAAAGTTTCATGCTGATCAGATGAAAGATGTAGTAATACATTAGGGACAACAACAAAAATCAAACAAACTTTCATTTTTTTATATAGATAGATTTTCAGTGCATTTAAAGGCTTATTATTATAAAGGTATTTATATTTGTTTTATTTTACACTTTTAAGTAATTTGTTCTAAGTGAAGTTGACAGAGCATTGACTTAGACTTAACATAGTTGTGTTAGAACTCTTGCTAAAATCCCTCTCTAAAAGACAGTTATCTCCTCTTTCTTAGTTTTAAGATCGGACTCTCAAGCAAAAAAAAAATCACTCAGGCATGAAAAACTTGCACTGATGTTAACACCCCAATCAAGTAATTACTTGAGATTTGATACTTAATTTTTAAAAATAAAATTCTAATGACTAATTAGGTTAAAACTTAGATATCCTTAAAGGGTCATTGAAGAAGGAATCTGGAAAGTTTGATTGAAAATGCTGCATTAGCATTGGGTGAGTAACAAGATTTACTAAAACCCACAAACAAATATTGTAAACTAAATAAAATGGGAGGGAGAGCACAGAAATTGTAATGAAAATAAAGGCTTGTTAAAATATGGCTATGACTAAAGTTTTAATAAAAGAACACTATTTAAACTTTGCACAACCAAAAAGGACACTCACTAGTAAAGAAAACACAAAATAACAAGAACAGGTATAAAAAAACAATTAATAAAAAGCAGGGTTAAGCATATACAATACATAAAGGAAACACTGATGCGAAGCACCTATCTTAAAATATGACAAAATGTTTAGTGACACCCAAGGGACAACACCAGACATGACTCAGCGTTAGAAAATGTGACTTTCATTGCCAAGGTAACAGAAAACAGTATAATAACTTTTAACTTAACACAACAATAACAGCTTACATCTGCTGCCTGAGAAACTGCAAAATCTGCAGCTGGTCTTTTGCTGCCTTGATGAGCTCTAAACTGGCGATAAATCTTTGAAAATATAAATATAATAATACATTTTAATAGCAATAAAATTTCTACTATTTAAGTATGATCAATGTTAGACAAAGTACTACCTATTTAAAAATTAAAGTAATGATTTTTTTCATTTGAAAATATGCCATAACAATTTTAAAAATTAATATTGCTAATCACAATTTAATTTCTGGCTGCATTTTTTATTAATTTTAAAATTTAATACTTAAAAATATTTAACATAGTCACATAGTTGTAATACATTTTAAGTTAAACATTATAGATATGTTGACACATTAAAAAGTAACCTTAAGTGGTGACAATGACTGATCTTGTTTGTAACTGCAAATAACTGTGCTATTAGGAATTGTAAACTGAACTTAGATCATTTTTTTTTCAATCTACATTCATCAATACATTTAAAGTTCTTTATTCTTAATTATGAGTACTGTTGTTCAGGTCTAGTTTTTTTTTTATTTGGACCATTTAGCATGTAGGTCAAGATCTGATGACAATGTAATGTGACATCAATTTTAACTTAATTGAATGATTCATTTTTAAAGAATTAATTAAATTTCTATATAAAGTACTATTTTTCTGAACTATTATACACACATTGTTAGTGCTCATTTGGTGTGCAATAGTGTTTAGTCATGCAATTTAACAAAAACGTTAAAGTATTGAAAGTTTTTTTTAATAAAATGTTTTAAAAAGAAACTTTTATACAATCTTCCACTAAAAAGTAGAAAATGAATGATTTCTTTAAATATGCAATAATGAACCACTATTTAAATAACTAAAAAGAAAAATGTGGGTCACTGTAGATCTATTAAATACCTTTACTAAAATTTTATAGGGACTCATGCTTTTCTTTTATTTATTTAAATAGTGGTTCATATTATACATTTAAGGATAATAATCTATTTTCTATTTTTGCGCATTATTACATAAAAGCTTGTAATTAAAATTTTTGAATTGACTTGTTTTGTTTTAAAGAGACAGCTTACCTAGCATTGCTGGGATCTAGTTTATCACAGAGTGACGCAACATTTTATAAGGGTTTTATCAACATCTTATTAATCATGTATTTTTAGACATGTGACCTTGTTTCTAAAAATGAAGTTATTTTAATGTAAACATTGCACAGGTTGGGCACAGGTTTATCCACACTACCACTCTGATGTTCCAGGGCATGCAGTAGGAAAGCCTTATGTGTACATTAATAACCTTTCACATTAGTGAGAAACAGCTCAGAAAACCACCCAGATGTCAGGGCGCTCTCTGGGACCAATGGTTGCACTACTGCAAAGCACCAGGTGTGTCCCCTGGCTCTGTTTAGTCTCTGAATGTAGTGTCATACTGTGTCCCTTTGTATAGTGCTCTTTAAGAGAAATGTAGGTGCCATAGTGCTCAAGGGGTAACCCGAGGTGCTCCATGTTACCCGACCAACTGTCGTGTGTGCTAAATTTCAAGCCGTTTCTACTGATTTGTAACATAGCTTAAAAAAGACTTATACAACCGTTATCTTCAACTTGAAACAAGAAATTATTAGAAACCATGTCAAGATTCTACACTCTTTCCAAAATTTTCCATAAACATTCAGGATATTTAGAGTTTAAAATTTCTACATCTTTTAAATTGCATATATGAATGTTTTTAAGTAATTTAATGTCACAATTAGCTGGGTATCACTGTTATTAATAAGCAAAGTGCTAAGCAGAATAACACATAAGGTTAAAAATAGTTTTGGTCATTTAACATAAACAGGAGCAGGCATGATTTTGTAAAGAACATTCCAGTAGAGATATTGCAACAATAAGAATTATCACAGAGTATAGCTTTGAGTAGAACTTCTCACCACATGTACTTTTGGTTGATAATCTAGACACTTATGAAACACTTATCCAACAATTAAACCACAACACAGATTGCCAAATGATGCGTAACATGATCAGATGCTGTTCAAGAACCGACTGGAGTGGAACAGGGGTTTTTGCTCTCACCACTGATATTTTTTACTCATGGTTGACACTGGACACTGACACAACGTAAAGACTTGTACTTTGCAAATGAACCCTGCATCCTCCACAAAGACAACAACAAATGCAGAACAAAACAAATATACTGGTTGAAAACAGATCTCAATATTAAAATCAATACATAAAAAATAATGGCCATAAACAACAACTGAACAAATAAAATAAAGATGAATTAAATCTAGAAGAAATTTCAAATGAGACAGTTTACTTAATTTGAAAGTTTAGTCTTAAATGAAGGTGGTAGTGATTAAAAGAGTCAGGTTAAAATCAGCAAGGCATGAAATAAAACAAGTGTGGAATTCTAAAGTATTGTCAAGAAACACCAAGCTGAGAATATGACACAAGCAATATTGTAGTTCCTTTAACTGTATGGTTCAAATTAAATAAATAAAATGTCTAGAGGAAGGGGGGGGGGGGGGGGGAGAGAAACAATGTAATAGAGTTTAAAAATGAGATGGGAGGGGCTACATTTTCATGAATTTAAAAAGAATAAAAAACAAAACTGAGTATATTATTGAAGTGTCGTCTTGGCCTATGCCCAATGTTCCCTCTAAGGACCAAGAGTGTGTGTGCAAAAAATATGTTGTGTGCGTGGTGCTAAAAATGACTTGGGCAAGTTAATATATATTTTTAGTCTTGCAATTAAGCATAACAATGAAGGCATGCATTTTGATAAATTAATAGTATAATGTGTGTGACTAATGAGACGTATGCAACTAAATGGAGATATGAATACCATCAAAATAAAATAAAAACTAATAAAAACTTTCAGAGTTATACTTAGACAACAAGTAATATGGTCGACTTACTATGTTAAAGTAAGACAGTCATATGGTAATAATGCTAAAACCATAACGGTAATACAAATACAATAGTTTAACATATGCAACATTTAATAAAGCTGACTTGAAAACAAATATTAGCTAACCTTTCAGGGGCATTTATTGCAATTTCTCTCGTCTAACCTTGCCTTTCTTCCACACCTTACATGCTTTGTTTAAATCCACACCCTCTCCAACATTCAGATATAATTTAATTCGCATTAGATTCTCCAAATGTGTGGCTTCAAGTCTATTTCGTGTTTGTACTTTTATTTTGTTAATAAGGCTAAAACCTTGTTCGTAATCAGCATTGCATGCTTGGAAGGTACAGTAATGTCACTTAACTTTGCCAGTGAGCTAAATTGTTCTTTGTTTTGACAAATCTTGCATATTCAGACATATAATTTACAGAAACAGATTTGAGTTTTTCACTTAATTGAAATTTGAAGTCGTTGTATTGGGTGGTAATTAACTGATCACTTGTTGTACGTAACCCGTCTTTGTACTTTACGCACAATTCTTTGATATCTTAGACGCCAAACTCAAATGCACATTTTTTTAAAGCTTGTAGAATAAAAAAGATGACCAAAACTGCATTACATCTCCTTGAAACCTAACATTTAAATGGTCGCAGACTGATGGTATGTACTGTGTGGTTTGCCTTGTGTCGATTCTTTCGTTTTTTTGGCTATAATGTTCAGTGTAGTGTTGTGTTATGGCAGTCTCTAGAGCTAAGGCATCACTGACAACGGTAAACTCAGTTATTCCACTAAAAACGGTTTTGTAGAATACAGAATTGACTGGACGAAATTTAAAATAAAGGATTACCATTTTGTGTATTGTTATGCCAATACTTTCTTCAACTATAAGCGTGTGGAATGATGCTGCTCGAAGTTCTGTCAGTATGTTCTTTACAACAACCTCGTTGATTACTTGAACAAACTCAAAGGCGTATTTCTTACTTCGCCAACTGTCTGGTATAGAAACATACTTCCCCATGTGGTTATGCATCGACAGCATCGAGGCTTTCATCCTTATGGTAAGAAGAACATTATCCGTTAGGATTCAAACTTGATCCTCGTTTCACCGCTGGCGCTCGTTTTGCTCAATTAGTTTTCGTCGCTCAGTGTAAGTTTCAACCAGCAGACGTTTCAGGTCAGTTCCATGTGAGCTGTTGTACGAAATCGCAACATTTTCTACGTAAACACGAGACAATAAATGACGTTTACAGTAGTCAAGCGTCCATGATTCCCAGAGCTTTCCTGTGACCAATTCGATGTTTTTGTTGGTTTTGTTACAAGTACTAGAAGCACGATTTAAAAAACTTGCAGGGTCAGCTTCAAGTCACAATACAATTCAGGTATTAGATGTCAGCTACGGTCAGTTTTTGGGTAAACCATTAAATCAAGCAATGGGAGTGTCACACAGCCCCGCTCAGGTGAGAGTTAAGTCATAAACTAGACCTGTGCTATGACAACCGAGGTCATCCGCTCCCCCAGTCAATGATACCCCTGGTTTCTGTATGCCCCAAAACACAAAGACTGTTTAACAAAACAGGTACTAAAAATGTCGCTTAATTCAAGCCACTGGCCACAATTTTTCTAGTGAATTAGGCTTGCCCGACGTTCTGATAATCTGCGCGCGACATCAGAAAATGACTGCGCTGCATATTTGAAAGTACTGCGCGGCCGCGCAGCTTAGAGGGAACACTGCCTATGCCTACTGGGGAGATAAAAGAAATAATAGAAAAAGAAGAATAGAAATTTTATAATTACCCTGAGTATAATATGAAGATTTCTGTTGCGTAGAAATCTTCTTAAATAATGAATTTCAGGCTCTTTATTGGGAAGTCTTGACTCAAGAGTAGGAAGTGCTACAAGCAGCTTCTGGGCATCTAGAATGAATAAATATATTTTTATCATTACGTATGATGTTGGATTCACGTTTATCTCAATTAAAATTGTAGTTTTAATTTTACCTGTGTCAATTTTGACATGAGGAAATAGTGGCAAGTTGACTGGCATGGTCTCTTGACTTGTTTTCCTCTTTTGGTCATATAAATTTTTTCCATGCTCACAAATGTCACAAAAATCTCATTCCATCTATTAAAATAACAAGTGACATAAATTTATCTCATTTTATAGGCAAGAAACTAAGTTCAGTGTTTGCAATCTGTTTTGCCTCAAGTTCTTATAAGTAACATCAAAATTAATATGTAAAATATAAAAGTATCAATGGAACAAAAAGATAAATAAAGAGATTTAGGTCCTAATGAATAATGCAAAACATAAAACATAAGATTAACCCTTTGAGCCCGACAAGCCAGAAAACCAGCTTCAAAATTAGGCATATTTGTCCAAAAAGCCAGTTTTGCTGCCCGATGATCTAGCATCATAGTCCTAGGGGCTGGTATACTGTCTTATTAAATATATATATTTAATAAACATGTCTTTTTAATGCAGGATGATTCTAAAAATAGATTTTGGGGAAAGTTGAAAGTGAAAGTGTTTGCATTTCGTAAAATACATTGCCAACACACTCAACAAATATCTGTTATTTTATATTATTTTACTATTCGGTTATAATTATTATTATAATAACAATAAATAGGTAAGTTACTCTAGTTTTGTCATCATGTTTAGTAAATATATAAAACAATTATCGATACATTAATATTTTATTAGTGCAAACTTTTGTTGTACAAATAATTTTTTTTCTAAGCAATGCTGCTGAAACAAAAAACTGGGTCACAGCCACTGACTGTGTTCCTTTTATATACATTGTTACACTTTACCCATTTAAGGAAGCTACTATCTGTCTGTATAGTCGTCCCTGTACTTGTGTCGCCTGTGTGGTCGAATAATGGTCCTTGTTGTGTTTATGAGGCTAGCGGTCAGACCCATTCGGGGTTCAAAGGTCATGCCAGCCCGCATCTTCCGTGCACAAAGTTGTGATAGTGCTCTGCCATGAAAGCTTTATTCTGTAGAGCTGATTGGCAGAATCGGTTACACGTCTGACTTGATGCATGGAGGGCGAGGCGATTTGGTGCCGTGTGGAATGGTAGGTTTGGATCCCATTGGGTTCTGACTGTTCTGCCTTTACTTGGACTATATTCTGTACCTTTGTCTACCCTTGGCGTTGAAATATCACTTTCTGTTTACATTGCTATTTCATATACATTATTATGTTCATACATTGTAAAAAAAAATAAAGAATTTCGAATCTTGCTGAATTGTTGTTTGATCCTGAGCCTGGATACCAAATTTGGCTTGATTACCTCAAAAGTTATAGGCAAAGTTAGAAGCAGTCAAAACTAGTCATTTAAATTTTCTGAACCTTAAACTATAAGGAGAGGAAACTAGTTACTGATCTATACACCAACTTAAAGGCCTTTATCTCCAAACATCTTGTTTTTGGAACAAGTACAGGCCTTTCAGCAGTGCAGGTCTTAATATGGCTGCTGGAGGTCATTCACTTGCAAGCAAATGACCTCCTCAGGGACAAGTTCAAAGAAGGATGGTTGGGTTTTTTTAGAAGTTTTTGCTTGAAGACTTTTCTAATGTGAAAACATTTGCTACAAGATACTTTTCAATTTTCGGAAATCTGTGAAGAACAATTTGAAAACAAATTGGACATCTAGTGCCCTCGAACTGCAATAGTTAATCTGGCCCTTGGACTGATAAGTTTGGAGACCCCTGATGTAAACTAAAATAAAAAAAAAAGAGCACTTCTTAAATCTTATAGTCTTCCCCTAAAAATGCTAAATCTATTGTTTATAAAAAAAACAGACTGGTCTGCAGTATATGCATAAATTCAAAAACAATGTGATAGCATATTCAATTATACTGTAAATTAATTTAGGTTAAACCCAAAAATTGAAATCAGTGAGTTAGGACAATTTTGAATGTTTAGGAAGTTGTAAATAGCATACAAAATTAAGAAAAACCACAAAAATCTCTAAAATTTCATATTATATCTAAAATTTTACTAAAAAATTGCAGTATTAGGGTCTAATTTTTTAAACTAATTTTTTAAATGTGAGACTTAAAATCTGCCTTAAAAATCTGGGGTAGACATAGCAAATTATTTTGTAAAATAAAAAGTTTTAATACTACAGAATACTTCAGAATTGTAATCTTTTGAAGCAGTGTTTAGTAAGCATAAGTACAAAATTTTAATAAAATATTTTAAGTAGTTTTTGAAATAAATATTCCGAACCAGTACTATTTAGATAAAAAGTGACATTTTGACAAAAATGAGAAATTGTGAAAATATGCAATTATTGAGAATAACGAGAAATAATGAAAATTATACAAATAAAATAATATTTTAAGCCTCCCAGTTATAAAAGTTGCATCTGGGACCTCTTACTTAGCAGATATAACAACTTTTTAAGCTGTTTTTACTTTCTCATATACAGAGATTAAAGTAATCTTGCACAAAAATCACATGAAACTTTGACAGTGTTCACCATTTTACACATCAGTACTTCATCCTATATAGAGTATAGGGGACTTATTTTAATTGGGCAAAAAAATTATAAAACTAAGATCTATAAAAAAAATACAGCGTTCTATGCGTAATTGAGTCAAAAAAACTGGGTTTCACAATTCTGTCAGTGTGTGTGTATGTCTGTGAACACAATAACTTGAGTACCATTACAGCTAGGTTGTTGAAATTTCATATATAAGTATTATATCAAATTTGTAGTTCTGTGTTAACTTTTCAGCGATTTCTGGTAACCAGAAGTGGAACTTACTCTACTTTCAATTTTTCAAAAGCCTATACCTTGAGAACTGTTCAAGATATATGAATCAAATTTCATCTATAAATAAAAGATTTAATTCTCTGCCTACTATCAAATTTTGAGTAATTTCCATTGACCAGAAGTAGTAATTTAGGCTATTTCCGATTTCTCAAAACACGAATATGAATTTATTAAGTACTAATATTCCGCACTATTATACAGATATTGTTTGCTGTTCACTTGGTGCGCAATTTCTATGAGGTTCTATTCTATTTTAAAAAGTTTAAGTAATTAAAAAGGGATTAAAATCATGTCTATATCCCAGGTTGCCATCTCATGTATAAGAATATTCAAGTAAATTTAGGGGAGATCACTCCTGGTTTATTTATTTTTAGGTTGCTTAATTATGCAAAATTTGGGGATTTAAGTCATTAAAAAAAATGACAATAAATATTACCAACATTTAATCAAGTAAAATAATTTTACAAAACTACATAGAACTGAATGTCATTGAAAATTTGAAATTTCTGATTTTAATGAGTATTTAAGGGAGTTTAACCTGCCCATAACAATAATGCTGCCCATTAAAGATCTAACTTAAAATAACATTCTTAAGGTTAAAACTTCACGTAGAAATTGTTTATAAGATAATGCATCACTTTTTTCTCTACTTCTCTCTAATGATTTCAAAGTTTTTGGTAAACAGTAACAGCTATTCTTTCATTACAAAGTTCATCATACAATATTTGTAGAAAAAGTCACACAAAGTTATTTAGAAAAGTAGGTGGGTTAAAAACTAAATGTTTTTATTACATAGAATATTTGCATGCAGTAGCATAGGCAGACAAGGACCCCCAACATGACTATTGTTTTATATTAAGTTACTGACTTGTGTGGCTATCATTTAGGGCTTAAAACACTAAACTGGAAATTTACTAGCTCTTTTGAGAAACAGAACGATAGGCGGAGACAAAACACTTAACATCTAGAAAATTCATTAAAAATGCAAAATACTTAAGTCCCACAATTCAGAATGAAGTGTTATATTAATTGTTCAAAGGGTTGTTGCAAAATTACTTCTGTCAAATTATTTTCTGTCTTAGCCAATAAAACTAGTTATATAGCTTGTATGGAGCAATTTTTATCACCTGTTTGCTACTGTGATAAGCGACATAAAGAAAATAAAGGAAGATTTCCTACAGCCTTAAAGTGTAACTGATCTAACAGGTAAAGGACATGCAAATGTTTTAATGGACATTCTAGCAAATTTACACATAGATGGTAATTTTATCATTGGTCAAGGATATGATTGAGCAGCAGCTATGAAAGGTCAATTACATGGGGCACAACAATATAAATCTAGCTCTTTATGATACTTGTGAACTACCAGCTGAGAAACTGTATGGGAATCCTTAATAGCTCATGCAATGTTTTTAACACACCAAAATGACAACTTTTGCTTGCAAATTTAATAGAGATATTAACACCTTAAGCATCTTAAATGATTGTGTGCTATACAACATGGAATTAACGTTATGAGTCTATTGATATTTTGCACACATTCAAAAAGCAACTTTTGATGCTTTGGAAAATTTGTCATCCTTGCATGATACAACAACAACAGTGGCTCAACTTTTAGGATCAAATAGGAGTCTTGAGTTTCAAGTTTCTCTTAGAGTTATCAATAAAACTTACAGTCAGCAGAATACTCCAAACAGAAAATTTTAATCTTTCTGCAGCTCTAAAATTGAAAGAAGGTTCAAGTAACCTACGGATATTTGTGTGGAGTTTGACATAGATATACTTTTTCCACATCTAGCTGGAAAACAAATTTAACGCTGCAACATGTTGGCAAATACTCCTGAAGAATATTATGGTTGTGTTTATTCCTTTTCTGTTATATGTCAAATAGGGGACAGATCTCTAAAGCGTAAATCTGTGTTGGGAAGTTTTATGGGCCTTTTGCCCAATCACTAATGTTTTACTTAAGAACAGAAAAAGAATGCCACAACACTTATGCAAAAATATGAACGTTTGATTAACAGTTTGACATAGATATACTTTTTCCACATCTAGCTGGAAAACAAATTTAACGCTGCAACATGTTGGCAAATACTGCTGAAGAATATTATGGTTGTATTTATTCCTTTTCTGTTATATGTCAAATAGGGGACAGATCTCTAAAGCGTAAATCTGTGTTGGGAAGTTTTATGGGCCTTTTGCCCAATCACTAATGTTTTACTTAAGAACAGAAAAAGAATGCCACAACACTTATGCAAAAATATGAACGTTCGATTAACAGCAGTGTAATCTATGAAGGCATTGGGGAACTGAAACTGTGGTGGTGCCACATTATTTTTAGTGGAAATGTACCGCAAAATGCTCATCGAGCTTTTTTAATGTGCAAAGTAAAAATATTTCCAACAGTACACAAACAACGGCAAATATTTGTAACATGACCTGTAACAACTGTTGTCAGCAGGTGCTCTTTTTCCACAGCTAAAAACGTACTTGCGAAACATTACTTGTGAAGATAGACTAAATGGTTTGGTATTATTAAATATTCACCATAATTTTAGAGGGTGAAATTCTTGATGAATTAGCCAAGAGTCAAGAAGACTTGAACTGCGATTGTAGCTGAGTAATTTTAAATGTACTTATCTGTTTGTTGTGTTTTAGTATGCATATTGCGTTTTCTGAGTTTGTTACATATAATTATACAATTTGAAGATGATAAATTTTTTTTTGTTGACAATGTTTACATGTTTTAAGATAATAGCTTATATTAAAATACTGGGTTTCCTTGTCAGTCGAAGGCGCCAATGAGCTTCTATTGACACCAGCCAACAATACTTTACATACACATGTTGAAATTGAGAGAATCTTTAGAATCATACAAAGAACTAGTTGCATCATTTCAAAAAACAAAACTGGCTATTGAAATTGTACACTGTGCGTTAATACAATTGGTTTCTATTTTAAGTGTTAAACGATTTATCTACCCACCATTACAGGGTGAAAATCCTTTCCATTTACTTTGGTGAAGAAGCGCCCCCACCTTTTTCTTATTTTACTTTTACACAATATACCTTTAATAGAATTGGTTTCTTTTCTAAGTGTTGTAAGAGCTATCTACTCACTAATTCAATATACGGTAATACAATAGTACATTACACTCTAATACTATTAGTTTCTTTTATGATTGGTAAAGTTTATTAACTAACCAATCCTTCCAATTTTAGTCGTTGAAAAAACCCTAGCTACGCCTTTGCTAAACCCATCTAGTGAAAGGTTTTGTTAGGGAGGACCTAAAGAGTGTTGTAAGGAAGGAATTGGTGAAGAGTACTGTATAAGACAAGCTAGTGATAAGTGTTGTAATGGAAGACTTTTGATGGAGTGTTTTAAGTGATGACCTAGTGAAGAGTGTTAATAATAGTGAGAACCTGGTGAAGAGTATTATCTATCTATATATATAAAAAGCAATGTATGTGTGTGTGTGTGTGTGTGTCTGTGTGTCTTTTATGCATTACCACACCTCTTATCACATCGCCGTGAAACTTTGGGAAGTTGTTGAGAATATTCATGGGGAGGTTTCTGCGAAAAAAAAAATTTCAAATTCGCAGGGGAGGCGCCCCGGTAGGGTGCGATTAGTTTTTCTCTATATACGGTATATAAAAATAAAAGTCTATTTTGATTTCACACTGTTTATCCGATAGGCATGAAACTTTGAGGAGTTGATTAGAATACTCTAGGGAAGGGTTCTGTACAAAAATCATTTTTAATTTCGCAAGGGCGGCGCCACGGGAGGGTGCGTTTTTCTTCTATATACTGTATATAAAAATAATAAAAGTGAATTGCAGTGACACCGTTCACACGATCGCCATGAAACTTTAGGAAGTTGTTGAGAATATTCATGGGGAGATTTCTGCGAAAAAAAATATTTCAAATTCGCAGGGGTGGTGCCTCACAGGGCGCGATTTGTTTTTTTCTATATACGGTATATAAAAATAAAAGTCGATTTTGGTTTGGCATCGTTCATCCGATAGCCATGTGACTTCGGGGAGTTCATTATAAAACTCTAGGGAAGGGTTCTGTAAACAATCATTTTTAATTTCGCAAGGGCGGCGCCACGGGAGGGTGCGATTTTTCTCTATATACGGTTTATAAAAATAAGTCGATTTTGGTGTGACACCGTTATCCGATAGCCATGACACTTTGGGGGAATTGATTAGAACAATTCAGGGAAGGGTTCTGTAAAAAAAATCCTTTTTTTAATTTCCTAAGGGCGGCGCCACGGGCGGCTGCGATTTTTCTCTATATACGGTTTATAAAATTTCGGTTTCACACTGTTCATCCGTGTACCATAAAACTTTGGGGAGATGATTAGATCACTCAATGGTAGGGTTCTGCAAGTAAATGTTGTTTAATATTGCAAGGGCGGCGCCCGGGGGGGGGGGGGGGGGGGGAGCGATTTTTTTCTCTATACACGGTATATAAAAAATAAAACTCGGATGTGGTTCATCCGAGTGCCATGAAACTTTAAGAAGTAGATGAAAATACTCCCGAGAATATTTCTGCGAAAAAATAACAACTAAAGTTTGTTATGGGCGGCGCCATGTAGGGTACAATTTTCGTTTATACACGGTTTGGCGCCCAAAGTTTTAGAGCGACTATGTTGGCACTTGACAACCGTTAATCGAGCGTCCTGCATAGCGAGTAAGGGGTACTACTATATTCAGTGGTAAAACTACAACAGGCTTCTAAAAATAACTTTGTAACGCGAGGAAATCCTTCTGTACAGTTTTGTCACCTTGCGAAAGGTGAAAAAATAACTTTTTGATTATGAGGAACCTACTGTAGAGTTTCGTCACTTTGCGATTGATGCAATAAGCATCTATTATTAGACAATCCAGTCAGAAATTGAGATCGAGCATCTAATAATAGACCATTTGTAACGCTAGCATATTGTTCGGTCACACTGATATTTAAAATACTTCAAATAATTTTTTTACGTGTTAAAGAAAAAAATCCTGTTCATTTGTGTCACTTTAGTTTTAAGGAGCCAGGGGTCGTACGCCGCGCCTATGCAGTAGTGTAATCGGGGGGTGGGGGCCCTGAGAGCACCCCTCTACGTCCCTCACACATGGGTGGTCACCAAAGAGTGTTCTACCTCATTATTTCGGTGAGTGATTAATGTACACGTAAGGTTTTCATGCGGTAGTGTAGGAAAACCCGTGTCCCGATAATTATTATCCAAGCGCAAGCATTGCTTACATTTAAATAACACAATTTTAGAAAAGAAGGACACGCGGTTAAGAACATATGATTGGTAATGCATTGGTGATATCCTTCTAATATATTTCATCAGACTTTTTTCTATCCCCGCGGTAACACGCGGGGGGGGGGGGGGGGGGCGGGTACGCTAGTTTTTTATAAAGAAGAACATGGTATGATATACTAAAGAGTGTTTCAAGAGAAGACAGAGAAAAGTATTTGGGACAATCTAAAGTGCCTAAATCTAGATTTCAAGCACCAGAAATAATAGACTGTTTGTTCCAGTAATTATATCTCAATAATCATTCATTGTTTAACGTGAAATTTTTTGCCATTATACACATAATATTTATGGAAAAAGTGGAAATAAAAAATTTCTGAGTTGGTTTGCAACCGAAATACCAAATAATGGGTTTCGGTATTAGCTTTGGGGCCAGATTTTTGTTAAACTTTTTTACATGCAAACTTCCACATCCTAACTTTCCTCTGAAAATCCCTCTTTGTAGTAATTTTTACTCAAAACTTTGCTGGTGTCTGGATAAATTTCGGTTTCCGTTTTTTAATTCATATTCAGTTGAAATATTATTTCCAGCAAAAAAATTTGTTTAAATTAAAATTTCTGGATCAAATTAAAAATGCCGGTTCTGAAAAAAGTTACGTTTAAGTTTCAGATTTTTAGTTAAATTTTCAGCTCTGGATAATGTTCTGTTTCCAGTAAAACTTTCATTTCCAAATAAAATTCAATTTCTGGTTTCATTTTTTTAGCTGGCTCAATGGCTGTTCCAGATAGAGCTCCATTTTTGGTTTAATTTAATTTTCAGTAAAATTTTGGTTTCAAAAAGATTTCGAGTTCCAATTCAGAGGTTTAGGTTTAGATTTAGGTTGATGAGTAGATATTGGTTTTGGTTCAGAGAAAAGAAAGTAACTTGATTCTTTGTCAGAATTCATTATTTAGACCAATACTATTATTTTGTATTATAAAATATATTTTTAAAACAAGTATAGATTTTTTTTAAAATATATGATTACCTTTAGTTTATATACTTATGTTTCAGGTAGAGGTGAGTGTTAAGGCTTCTGTTGATGTTTATGTTCATGTTGTGTTAGGGGTTGTGGTTGTTGTGGTTGGTTAGGGTAAGGTTAAGAGTTAGGTTTAAATTTATAAATATTTTCTCAAAATCTTTGAATATAGACATTTAATTGGATTCTTCATATATGTATTTCCAAACAGCTGGCAGTGCCCAGTATTTGCTGCTTAATAAACACACAAGAAACAGTCTTTTATAGAATAGTTTTCACAAAGGCAGCGACAACTAGTTTTAGATAATGAGAGACAAACTATAACTGTAAGGTAAGATATTTTAACTTAATTTACAATTGTAAAAAAACATGATAAATACCTAATTGTGCTGCATTTTAAACCACTTTTAAGTTTCATACACATTAACTTTCTACCCCAGCTTCTGAGCCTCATTAGCAGTCTGTACAGAATTCCACTTTTCTTTTTTCCTTAAGTAACCATCATTTATATAAAAATCTGTTGAAAATAGAAGCTAAATACATTACAATCTTAAATGTCTTAATTGTATAAAAAGTTGCTAATATATATATATATATATATATATATATATATATATGCTTATATATATATATATATATTTATAAATATTACATGGGCCTCTATATATATATATTTATATAGAGATAAATACATTTATATATATACATGATTACAAAACATATCTCTATATACATATATTTATAAATATACATATACTTTCTACACACACATGTATATATACATATATATAATTTACATTTACATATATATATATATATATATATATATATATATATATATATATATATATATATATATATATATATATATATATATATATATATATATATATATATGTATATATATATACACACATGTATATATATATACACACACATGTATATATATATACATATATATGTATATATATTTATTTATATATATGTGATCATGTATATATATATATATTTGTATATCTACACAAACGTTTATATATATATATATATCTATATATATAAATAAATATATATGGATCTATCTCTATATATAAATGAAATTATGTTTGTGGGTGTGTGGGTTTATTTGTATTATAGGCATTACTACACCTTTGATCCTATTGCCATGAAACTTTTGGAATTTGAGGATACTCCTGGGGAGGTTTCTACACACACCAAAAATTATTAATTTCTCAAGGGCAGCATCACAGCAGAGTGCCATTCAATTTTTCTATAAGTACTACGTTTATAAAAGTCAGATGTGATTTGACACTGTTCATCCGAGTGCCATGATACTTTGGGAATAATGAGGGTGGCAACCCTGGAGGGTGCGAATTTTCTAAATATATGATTTGGCGCCCAGAGTTCTAGAGCGGCTATCTTAGCACTTGGTATTAATTGATTGGCTGTCCTACAAACCGGGTATGAGGTACTACTTGATTCAACGTTAAAACCGCACCAGGCACATCCTGTTGATGGCTCCTAGGTTCAGTTTAAAAAAAGGCTATACACTAAAGAAACAATGGGCAACAACAATCATTGACTATATCAAATCAGGCGCTGCTCCAGCATGTGACGATTTGGTACCCCAGGCTCCCCAGTGAGCACTATGGCACATGCGTTTGGTTTAAAGAGTGCAATAGGCTATGGATAAAATGGGTTGCTATAGTTTCTCACTAAATAGAATCAGGCGTGTCCTGCAGCACTCTGGCAGGGTGCTATTTGGCACCCAGGGCTTTCCCATTAGCGTTATGGTGCCCATGTTCATTTTAAACTGCAATAGACTATGGAGAAAATGGGGTATTATAGTCGTTCCCTACATCCAGGCAGTTGCGATTTGGCGCTTCAGGCTATCGTGTGAGCACTACGGTACATGTGTTTCTTTTAAAGAGCACTCTATAATATTGATAGGTGGCACACAACATTTGATGACTAAAACATGCCAAGGGGGGGGGGGGGGGATATGCTGCCCAACTGCTGTAGTGTAGCTGGGAGAGCCCCCTCTACGTCCCTGACACCTGGGCAATAGCCTTTGACTGGAATATGAAGACACCCACCAATGAGTTAACGAACAAATATCAATGAAATTAGTAGATCATCAAGGTGATTTTTATCAGGTGACAGCACTAATTTTCTATCACACATTTAACAGGGTGGGCATATGGGTCTCCAAAGAGCAGTTTGTAACTACATAAATTTATTTATTACAGAATAGAGCAGATGCCTAGTTGAATAGTAAGAGCATAATTGTATTTAAAATCTCAAATAATTTCCTTGGAAAGATGGATCTGCTGACATGCAAGTGACCTGTTTACTTCCCACTAGAAAGGAAATATCAGAGTGATGCTAAGATAGGGCTTTAGTTTATTTACCTCCTCAGGTTGGCAATGATATTAATAACCAAATGCCAGTAGAAAATAGGTCTCTTATTTAATACAATGTGACAATGAACTTGAAGCTGACACCTTAACTAATAGTTACACTTGCAATTAGTTGGTCAGTGAAGATCTGTGGGTAATGATCCATATACTCCCAAAAAAATATTTAAACTAATCTCCGAAAAAGGTGCCACTCTCTAACCCTAACCCTCCCCCTCATGGTCACAAAGTTCTGACCCCCACCAGTGAAGTCTGATGGCATTTATGGATGACTAATGTAATCAATGGGCTACTGATAATTTTATGGGCATTATTGGACAGAATGGTGTATCGGTAGAGAGCTGGACTGCTAACCCATAAGTCTCAAGTTCAAATCCAGGTTCAAGTCAGTAGACCTTCCCTGAGTCCACCCAACTCTGATGTGTACCTAACTCACATTAGGGAAAGTAAAGGCGGATGGGCATAGTGCTGACCACACTATCTCTTTCTGTGCCGAGGTCACAGAAACAAGTGAACTCTACTTCACTAGCCTTATAGACCTTCAGGTTTGAAAAGGGAACTTTACTTTTTTTTTACTTAACTTATTGGTATTCTAGCAGTTCTTTATACTTGATTGGCATGTCTTAAAAGCATTGGTAGCAATTGGATGTATCATATAATAGGTTCACCACAAAATACATGTTAAATCCTGTAATTAGCCTTAATATTTGGGACTAGCAAATTGTATAGGCCTAATCTATTTTATAATATTGTGTACCCCTAAGAAGCATAATAATAATATAATATAATTAGGCCAGTAGCATATCCAGAGGGAGTTAGGTATCAATCAGAGCTCAGTGGATTCAAGTACATCCTATAAACTTAAAACCGGGAATCAAACTCCAGACTTTTGGGTTAGCAGTCAAAAGTTCTATCATCTGATCATGCCATCCCCGACTCACTATTTTTTTCATTATGAGCTTTCTATGTCATTTGCTTTGCAGAATTTTTTTTTTTAAAGACCTAAGAAAGACATCTGACACATGCTGAAAGGAGTCATTTTATGTCCTTTTATGTTTTTAAACATCTTCCTCCATATCTCTCATACAATTATGTGTCTTCCCATCTTTTTTACTCCCTGCCTTTTTTGTTTGTTCGCCCATAGATTTAAAGCTTTTTATAATGTAGGGCTATAGCTTATTTTGTATCATTAATTAAAATATAATTGATTTAACAATATGAGAATCATTAGGGTAAAAAAGCATAAGAATAATGAAATTTGCAATTACTTTAAAGAAAAAAAAAACAATGTATGTTTGCACCTGTATCACAGTATACATACATACACACATATATATATATATATATATATATATATATATATATATATATATATATAGGCCTATATATATATATATATATATATATATATATATATATATATATATATATATATATATTCAGTGAGAGAAGATGGCACCTTCTAGTGCACTCTTGTGCATACCATACTGCAAAACACAAAAACCTGCATACACCACTGGTTTAGACCTATAAAGGCTTATGACATGTAACTAAAGTATAGGCCTATAAAAACAAAAATTTCATATAGATCTAGGTCTATAGTAATTAACTCATAATAAACATGCTATTGTTACAATAAGTCTATAAGATCTCAACATTTTATTACATTTTTATAATAGGCCAAATTAAATGCTTGATTAATAAATAACCCACTAATACTTTTAAATTTAATTAGGCCTAATAGATTTATTTATTGATAACATTAGAATTAGCAAAATTAAGCATTAAAAATAAAATAGTTGACTTAATATGCTAAAAATCTATTCTATTATTTTTATTTAGGCTTTCCATTTGAAATCATCCCAGGTGGCGTTAGTCTACTTCGGTCACTTACTTAGATCAACAATAATCTAGATCTAGAATCTAGTAGTAGTACAATACCTAGAGACTAGTAGTCTACTAAGCTAGAACATTACTAGATCCCAAATCTAGATAGACTAGTCCTAGTTCGAGGTGTCAAATAAAACACTGTTAGACCTTTGAAAACAATAGTCTAATATAATCAAAAAGGGATTTTCCCCCTCGACATCTCCATTAGACTAGTCATTAGTGAGACTAAGTTTAGTTACTCAAAGAGAGCAAACATGAACTACACTATTGCAGTATTAATTAATAACGACTTGCAATAAAAGATGTGCAATAAACGAGTAGACTAGATCTATATCTAGGTCTAACTCTAATTCTAAATCGTGATCTCTTCTTAATATTGCCAAGACTCGTTGGTCTAGCTTTAAAAAAAAACAAACAAGAAACGGATTGCAGCCTAGATCTAGATATACATTCTAGATCTACATCCTAAAGGCAAAGGCCAATAATTAAAAAGTGGTTAGCCTAATGAAATATATAAGTTACAAAAGTTTATGTAGAAGAAAGCACCAGCAATCTTCCATCATTTGACGCGACACAGAATCTACACACTCAACATCACACAGACGTCGCTATCGATTAGGCCTAGCGTGGCTAGCATGCAAGCAGTCTCCACAAGCCTCGTGGCCAGAGCGAGCATTGCTCTCATCCAGTGTTTAACAATGAGGAGAAATGTGTACCCATCAAGTATCCTAGGCGACCATCAAATTCTGCAAGCGAAAATTGGGAAAGGGGTTAGTGGGGCAAAAGAGAAACCCAAGTAGCCACGTTTATCGATTAAGTCGTGGTTAAGAAAGAAGAATAGAAAAACGATTTTAAAAAAAAAAGTCGAGTCGCGACTGAAATCAGAGATCAAGTTTTTTTCTTTTATTCTACGAGAGATATAGATTCAAGATCTAGATTCTAGATCTATATTCTTGTACAACTAACTATACTTGTAAAATATAATAGGTCTACCTAGCCTCAAGCCTGTCTATTATCAAGGTATGTAAACATGTAACAGCAAATAGTTAGATCTATAAACATGAAAATTGCAGACATGTATATCTCTAGACCTATTTAATACATGCATATTTTAAAAAAAATAATTAGATGAGCCAAGCCGCAGAGAAAGCATGAGGTAATTCGCTGAGCCGTAGACCAACAATGATCTAATCTAGATCCAGTGGCGTAGCGAGATCGGGTGTCACCCGGTGCGGTACTTAATGGTGTACCATATATAGCCTATATATAGGCTATATGAATATATATATATATATATATATATATATATATATATATATATATTAGGCATGCTGCCCAGCTTCGCTTAGGCTTTCGAAAACATGGAGAATTTGAATGCTTAATTAATTCGCCCGAGGGTCGGTCTACGACCTCAGGAGTTATGAAGAGGTTCCTACGTGGACATTTTTTTTTCGATTTATAGTTCATATAAGGCGCCGGTCAGTCGAGGTCAGTTTTGACCCCCTCATCGTAGACTTTTCGGCCAACCGGCCACCGTGTTCTGTCGCCCCAAGGCAAGATCCTGCCAAATTTGAAGCGCCTGCGGCGCCGGGATGTGTCCTATCGGGCACCCGACAACCAGTGTTTCTTCCAGACTTTTTTCTCCGGGGGGGCACTTGAAATCTTCGGGGGGGGCGGTAAACTTTCTTCGGGGGGGCGGACACTGTTAAAAGTATATATTTTCTATATAAATTATATAAATTTCATTTCGTTCGGGGGGGCGGTAAAAATTTTTCGGGGGGGCTTCGCCCCCCCGAAGAGATGCCTGGAAGAAACTCTGCCGACAACTTTGCTTTATATATTACTAGCCGTCCCGGCCAGGTCCTGCTCTGGCTTCTGTGAAAAACCTTTCTGTTAAAGACCATTACCTGTGTGTTTAGTAATCATCATAAACCCGGCATTGCCCACCCAAACCACAACCAACCAAAACCAAAACAACAAAACGCAAACATAACGCTAACACAATTACAAATACAAACGAAAACAAAAACCTAACAACAAACCCAACCACAAACACCAATACAAACACAAAGAAAAAACAAACAAAAAAGCAAACGAAAACAAAAACCTAACAACAAACCCAACCACAAACACCAATACGAACACAAAGAAAAAAACAAATGAAAAAGCAAACGAAAACAAACACAATCCAAACGCAAAACCATCCACAAACACAAACCCAAAGAAAAAACACAAACGAAAAAAGAAAGAACAAAACAAAAACGAACCAAATCAAAACGCAACCACTAACGCAAACCCAACCTAAACACAAAGAAAACACTAACGCGAACATAAACGCAAAGTGCTCACAGTCTAGCCCGGGGCGGAATCGCCTGTTTCAGCTTAATATACGACTATAGTACCCCAATTTATTCATAGTCTTTTGCACTCACTTTAACGAACGTAGGCGCCAAACCGAACACGGGGGGCCCGGGGCCCCAAATAGCACCCTGTCTGGGCGCCAGAGGACGCACCATGACGTAACCGCCTGATTCAACTTAGTAAACGACTATAGTACCCCAATTTATTCATAGTCTTTTGCACTCACTTTAACGAACGTAGGCGCCAAACCGAACACGGGGGGCCCGGGGCCCCAAATAGCACCCTGTCTGGGCGCCAGAGGACGCACAATGACGTAACCGCCTGATTCAACTTAGTAAACGACTATAGTACATAACTTATTCATAGTGTTTTGAACTTAAGCGAACGTAGGTACCATAGCGTACACGGGAAGGCCCGGGGCGCCAAAATAGCACCCTGTCGGGGTGCCGGAGGACGCCCGGATTTGATTCACTTAAAGTATAGTAACCTTTCTTATCCATAGTCTATCTCACTGTTTAAAACAAAATTATGCAGCATAGCGCTCACATGATAGCACAGGGTGCCAAATCGAACCGTGCAGGGGCGCCGGCGGACGCGCCTATTTTAATTTAGTGAACAAAATGATAATACTCCAAGCTTATCAGTAAATGGAAAGTAATAAACATATAGGATTTGTAGGACCTGGCTTATTAAATGTTATTGATTTAAAAAAATAATTATTTAACAGTATGTTCAGTGTATAGAATAAATAAAAGGCAGTATTAAAAATACCAACGACATTGCACTTAATAAATCCCCGCTAATTGTGTAATTATTTTTTTTTCGTAACACCAAAACAAAGTAATAAAAAGTAAATTCTTTCTTCCCCCGATTTAATAATTTTTTTAAAGGGAAGTAACTGTGCAGTCAATACATTTCAGACACAATTTTAGAAATTTTATAAACGTCGATACACTTTTTAAAAAATGTATGTAATGTTCATAATTGAAAATTATTATTCTAAGTACATAAAATGAAAATTGTTTTTAAAGACTTTCAATAGTAATTTTTTAACTCATAAATGTAGACTATGAGCACGATAATAATCTAACACTTAAATCCATCGAAGTATCCACGACAAACATATTTATTTTTGCATACAGAATTGAGCTTTATATATTAGATAGAGATTAGCAAATTGCATAAAATTGCATAGATAAACAAAGATTTCAATAAAGTAATTAAGGCCTGAAATACTTTAGTATAGAAATGTATTATTTGAATAGATTATAGATCTAGGTAGGGTCTACATCTGTGTAAGTCTAGTTTTTCCGTAGATCTAGCTAGATCATCTAGATCTAGAATCTCTAGATCTAGATGATCTAGAATCTCTAGATCTAGATGATCTAGAATATCTAGATTTAGAATCCTAATAGAATTTTTTTTTAAGTTTAGCCCGAGCAAAATTGTATTGTATAAATTTTATAGCGTACGTAGATCTAAATAATATTTGAATTAAATAGTTCATTTCTTTTTATTCTAAACACGGCAGATGACGTCATAAACATTAATGACGTCACTGTTTTATGCATTCTTTTTCACAACTATAAACGCTTTTCCTGTTGCATAATTAAAACTGTTTTTCTACATTCGAATACGCCTTTATTATTTTTTTTCTCTTCTTTAAATAAAATTGTGGTTATACATTTAAAACATCTACCATATTATTTTCAACAAAAGTCCGTAGCAAGTTCTCCATATATCGCTGAACGTGCGGCGTCAAAACGGCCAATGACAAAACGGCCCCGTCAAAACGACCCCTACAAATCGGCCCCGACATAAGAGCCCCGTCAAATTGACCCCGTCAAAATGGCCTGCGACATATGGACCCCGTCATAAAGGCTCCCGATAAATAGGCTCCCGTCATTTAGGCTCTCGACAAATAGGCTCCCGTTATATAGGTTCCCGACAAAAGGGCTCCAGTCAATAAGGCTCCTGACAAAAGGCTCCCGCCATTTAGTTTCTCCACTAAACGGCCCCCGTCATTACGACTCACGACAAATAAGCCCCCGTCATTTTGGCTCACGACAAATAGGCTCCTGTCAATTTGGCTCCCGACAAAAGGACCACTGACAATACCGTTTTTGTAGAGACTAATTCTCCCGGCAAAGCGGTCTCATTGAATATGACACCTGCCAGTGGGACCCCTTCATCAATACTCTTTAGAGTTAGCTTATCCAACACTCTTAAGTAATACAAAGTTTGCGTCTCTTGTTCGGCAGGCCTTATTTTTATATTAGTTTATCTATTATAAGAAATAGTGTTTTAATTTAAGTGTCATCTATCTATGACTTCCATAATGCAGTCGGTTATAGGCTGTTCCAACTCAGTGTGTAGGGAGAGGAATCCACACTGTACCTGCCAACATGCAGTATGCTTGTAAGTTATCAAAACAAAGTGCCGTTATCCTGTAAACATCATGAATATCATACATTTTCACTTCTGTGCTCGCTTTTAAGCAACAGATCTTTACTGTTGTAAATTAAACATCAAAATTTTAGAATTGGTGGATTTTAGCTGTTAAGGGCTTAATTTGTTTGTGAATTGATGTTTTTTCATGAAAAAGCAATTTCAATCAGACATTTAAAAGAGGTTATAGTACTAGTGGAGGTAGGACAAAATGGTTACTTTTCTGCCAATAGTGGTCATACAATTCATTTGTCTGTAGCCAATATGTCGGGAGTCATTTTGTCGGTAGCCAATATGTCGGGAGCCCATTTTTCGGTAGCCAATATGTCGGGAGCCCATTTTTCGGGAGCCAATATGTCGTGAGCCCTTATGTCGGTAGCCAATATGTCGGGAGCCGCTTTGTCGGGAACCAATATGTCCTGAGCCTATTTGTCGGGAGCCAATATGTCGGGAGTCCATTTGTCGGGAGCCTAAATGTCGGGAGCCCATGTGTCGGGAGCCTATATGTCACGAGTCAATATAACGGGAGCCCATTTGACAGGAGCCAATAAGTCGGGGCCCTTTTGACGGGGCTATTTTGACGGGGTCGTTTTGTCGGGGTCGATTTGACGGGGTCAAATTAACGGGCCGTTTTGACGGGGTCGATTTGTCCCGGGCCGTTTTGACAGGGCACCATCGCTGAAGATTCTGACGTGATATCCGGCAAAAATATATATTTATATATTAGGATATATAATATATATATATATAAATTATATATATATATATATATATATATATATATATATATATATATATATATATATATATATATATATATATATATATACATATATATATATTATGGGCGGAGGGGGTAAAAAGTTACACATTTCACTTTTTAGGATCTGGAGACAAGAATTATGAACCTTTAACAATGCCAAGGTTACTAGTTCCACATTTCAGATAACTGTATGCAGTGTTTCTTCCAGACTTTTTTCTCCGGGGGGGCACTTGAAATCTTCGGGGGGGCGGTAAACTTTCTTCGGGGGGGCGGACACTGTTAAAAGTATATATTTTCTATATAAATTATAAAAATTTCATTTCGTTCGGGGGGGGCGGTAAAAAATTTTCGGGGGGGCTTCGCCCCCCCGAAGAGATGCCTGGAAGAAACTCTGACTGTATGCAGAGCCGTTGGGAATAGCTGTTCACGGTATGCCCATGACAGACTTGCAAAATGGTGATTTAGAATTGTGACATTTTACCCCAGTGCGGGGTAAAAAAGTCACATGCTTGGGGTGAAAAGTCACACATTTTCAAATGTTATATGGTTAAATCTATTTGATCCAAAAATCATTTTTTGCTATTGAAAATAATTTCCCTTAACAATCATGAATATTAATGAATGTTTAGATGATATAGGCCTATATATATATATATATATATATATATATATATATATATATATATATATATATATATATATATGTATATATATATATATATGTATATATATATATAATATATATATATATATATATATATATATATATACATATATATATATATATATATATATATATATATATATATATATATATATATATATATATATATATATATATATATATATATTTATGTATATATATATATATATATATATATATATATATATATATATATATATATATATATATATATATATATATATATATATATATATATATATATATATGTGTGTGTGTGTGTGTGTGTGTGTGTGTTTGTGTGTGTAAATGAGGACCAGATTTGTAATTATTACAAAATTTACATAAGATTGAATTAAAAAAGTAAAAGATTTTTTTTTATTGTGGACACGGGAAGAGCCGCAGACATAACACAGGGCCATAAAGAGGACAGTGGCCAAGATATCAATACAGGACTGTACTAAAATTGAAAAGAAATGTAAGGCTGTCTTTCAGTTAACAGTTAAAGAATACGAGCCGACCCGCGGCATATCATACGACACTATTTATTTGTTTTATTTTCAACTTTTCAGTAATTCATAATTTGTGAATTCGACAGTACCAATGCTGCCACTGAAAATATTTGCTTTAAAACATTATCAGTAGGTCGTTAAGGACTATACTACCCCCACCCTTTCTCCTAACCCTTACCCTACACCCCCCACCCCCGTGAAAGCAGCCTCCTCTTAGTTACCTCCCCTAAGTTTAAAATCGTTTCAAACTAAATTATCTGCCCCTAATAGCCGTCACTAAACCCGGCTCTATGATTGTAAACATTTAGCGTGAACCACAGCTCACCAGACCATGTAGGGGTGGGGGTGGTAGGGAGCGCGCTTACAGCTTGTTTTCTAGCGTCTCCAAGAAGAGAATTATATATATATATATAGATTTTAGCTGCATATTTCACGATGTCTTCAATGAACACATGGCCGCTCTTGGAGCGTTTTGTCCCAGAAATGTCAGACTTTGTCAGCAAAGTAATGATGTTTTTTTTTATTCACAGAACATACTTCGTCAGTTTCGAAGTTTATGAATTTGTTTTTCACCTTTTAACTTCTTTTAAGGTATTCAACCTCAGTCCCCTTCTTCGTTCATCAGTTTCTTTACATGTTTTGTTGAATGCCTGTATGCGATTGAGTGATGTTGACTCAGGACTTCGCAGGGATAGCTGGTCCTTGTGACGTTGTCTGAATGCCTTTAGCCAATCTTCTCCTGCAGATTTCGCACAGGACCAGGATTCTGGCATTGAAATTTTGTTGGCGACAGCAACTTTGTAGGCTAGTTTGAGTAATTATCTCAGAGTTAGGCCATAGAAGATTGAAGAGGCTTCAATGATGTAGTCCAGCGAAACTTGCTCTTCTGCGTACTGTAGCCAAAAGTTGGCTTCTCAATGTTGCCGTCTGTTTTGAGCAGATTTACATAGCGTTGAAGGGTCTTATAATTAACCCCGCAGTCGGATACAACTTTACGGAGCGACTTTCCTTCAAAATGGGCTGCAAATGCCATCTTAATGGCATGTTTCGTAAATGTTCCTCTCGTTGTCTTGCGCTGGTATTGTCTTGGCATGAATCTGTGAAGAAAAAAAGCAAGTTGAACGCCTTAGACTAATTTCAAAGAAACGACCTAAACAAAAAAAATTCAGTGATTGCATATGTAATGATTGGACTATAAAGGTTATTATTACTGAGTAAAATTATTTATTACTACTACTACTACTTGACTTCAGAAGCGGAACTACAGTGCCGCCAGACCCCGTATTGCGGGGGGGGGGGGGGGGCTAGGCAGTTTAGGGGCCCACAGCGGACCATAATCAATTTTTTTATAGTTAAAAAAAATATTTTCTTGCATTTTTTACTTGATGGTTGTTTTGTAAAAAGAATACTGTAGCTGCAGTTGGATTACCTTTATTCTATAGACAAAATCCCGAGTCCTCTTTCTCCTACAATCAAACACATGCTTTTGTCGGCAAAATTGTTTTGAAAATAAATCAAAGTCCATCTCGCGAGAGGCCCCTAGGTATTAAGACCACTTTTGCTTCTTTATATCATTGATTACGGGCCACAATCCATTGTGATCTTATAATGTAAAATGCTCGTTTGTTGTATTGGTAGAACAACTATTCTATACACTTTCGGTTTGATGTACGTTTACTTCAATTTTGTTTTACAAACAAATACGATAGTAAACGTGTATAATTTGAATTCTCTCCCTTGAGTGTTTCACAATAGGCTTTAGGGAAAGTAGTTGAGACCATCTCAACTTTGGTAAAATTTGGGAAGTTTTTGAGTACTCATTGACCTAACATTTGTTTAAATGTGTAGTTACGCGCCCTGAGATCCCCAGTGGCTATCTAAGCACCAGGGGTCCGCTTATTGGGTGTCCTGCACAGGGGAATAGGTGTACTACTTGAATCATCAGTCTTGCTGCATTAGGGGCCTCCGCCGGTGGCCGTGTCCCAAGAGCCCCGTGTCGCCCCTGACACCAAGGCCGTCACCAAGGGGTGTTTCTTTCACCATCAGTATAAACCGGGGCGTGTTTGTGGTAGTGTGTACATACTAACGCCGCAACAACTAAGCCTTGATAGTGGTTTTGTGGAAAAAAAAACCACAGAGCTACTACAGTAGCTAACACACGCCGTTGCGTAAAAAAATATATAGACATGAGTTGTAGTGTCGAAGATAGGCAAACGTTCAAACCACTTCAGTGACTTATTTCCCTTTTTAAAATAGTTAAATATGTGTGCTCTTTATTTAGCACTTTTTAATAGATTTGCATTAAACAAATTAAAAAGCAATTACTTCTCTTAATTATTATTATTTTTAAAATACATAATAAAGAATGACATAGAAAAAAAGAAAAGGTATTTAAAACTAATAAAATAAATTAAAAAAAACATTATACAAATAAACATAACATATATTACATCAAATGTTATCAAAACAGACTAATAAAGCACTCACATAAATGACGTGTTGTGGTAACTTGATTTAAAAATAAAAAAAAGAAGAAAAAAAAAAACTAAGAATTAATTTAATTTTCAAAACTCGAACGAGCCCGAAATGACTCGTGACCTTGTTTTCTAAAAGTGAGTTATTTAAATGTAAACAATGCCTGCGCTTGGATCATAAATATCGGGACACGGGTTTACCTACACTACCGAATGAAAAACTTGAGTGTACATTAATCACTTACCGAAATAATATGGTAGAACACACTTCGGTGACCGCCCATGTGTCAGAGACGTAGAGGGGCGCTCTTGGCGCATAGGAGCAGCGTACCAACCCTGGCTGCTTAAAACTAACAGGCGCCATCGAGCCAAATAGCATCCTGTTAACAACGATGCAGATTGCGTCATTCGCTAAAATGACACAAATGAACAGGATTTGTTATTTAACCCGTACAAAAATTATTTGAAGTGTTTTAAACACCAGAGTGACTGATGCAATATGTTAGCGTTACTAATGGTCTATTCTTAGCAGAGGCGTAGCGACCCTTCCCGGCGCCCGGGGACAAACTTTCAATTTGGCGCCCCCCTCGGGATCAACCTTTCAATTTTCGATTTGCACCCCCCGCCCCTCGAACTTTCGATTTGCACCCCCCCTCATATATTTTTTTATTTATTTATAAAGCAAAAATTCAGCTAAAATAATATTTAAATTTGTTTTTCCAACCCATTTTGGCGCCCCCTAAGGTCGGCGCCCGGGGACATATGTACCCCCCTGCCCCCCCTTCGCTACGCCTCTGATTCTTAGATGCTCGATCTCAATTTCTATTTGGATTATCTAAAAATAGATGCTAATTGTATCATTCGCAAAGTGACGAAACTGTATGGATTTTTACTTTCTCGTATATACGTAGTATAGAGAAAGTATTGTAATCGTGCAAAAAAAAAAAATCGAGATTTTTACAAATCTCGACGTTTTACACCTCACTGATACGGAAAAACATAATTTTGCAATCTTGTCCGTATGTCTGTGTGTGTGTGTGTGTGTGTGTGTGTGTGAATGTCTGTGTGTCTGTGTGTAAACACGATAAATTGAGTACCGTTACAGCTAGGTTGATGAAATTTCATATATAAGTATTATATCAAAATCGTAGATCCGTATCAACTTTTGAGCGATTTCCGACAACCGGAAGTGGTACTTTTTCTACTTTGAATTTTTCAAAAGCCTATAACTTGAGTACTATTTCAGATAGATAAATGAAATTTCACATGTAAGTAAAAGATCTAATTCTCTACCTTCTGTTAAATTTTGAGTAATTTACGTTGACCGGAAGTAGTAATTTACGCTACTTCCGATTTCTCAAAAAACTAATGTAAATTTTTAAAGTACTAATAATATTGCGCACTATTACGCACATTTCGTTTTGGTGCTCGCTTGGTGCGCAATTTTTTTTTCTATTAGATTTTATTCTATTTTTAAAAGTTTAAGTAAACAAAAATCATGTCTATATTCCGAGTTGACATCCCACGTAGTGTTATATTAGAATATTCGAGAAAGTTTAGGGGAGATCACTCCCGGTTTATTTTTACGGACAAAAAGAAATATCCCAGTTAATAATCTAACCTTGGTTAATTTTTCTGATAGAATTTAGTAAGCGTTTGTAACGCCCCATCCTATCCATTGTCTATAACACTGTTTAGACTGAACGTATTCACTATAGTGCTCACGGGAAAGACCAGGGCGCCTAATCGCATCCTGCCGGGGGGCCGCCCATACAAAACTAAATTCCCCTTCCCCACCACCCACCTCTATTTCCCCCTCTCACCCCAGAAACCTTCTCGGGAGTATTCATTAACTCCCTAAAGTTTTATGGCACCGGGATAAACTGTGTCGAACCGCAATCGTCTTTTATTTGTATATACCGTATATAGAGAAAAATCCAAACATTCCGTGGCTCCGCCTTTGCGAAATAAATAAAAAAATTTTTTGAAGAAACCTTCCCCGGAGTGTTCTAATCAACTCCCCAAAGTTTGATGGCGATCGGGATAACGCCGTGAAATCGCAATCGACGTTTATTTTAATATACCATATATAGAGAAAAATCGCACCCTCCCGTGGCGCCGCCCTTGCGAAAATAAAAATGATTTTTTTGCAGAACCCTTCCCTGGAGTGTTCTAATCAAGTCTCTAAGTTTGATGGCTATCGGATGAACGTTGTGAGACCGCAATCGACTTTTATTTTTATATACCATATATATATAGAAAACAAATCGCGCACTGCCGGGGCACCACCCCTGCGAATTTGAAAATGTTTTTAGCGCAGAAATCTCCCCAGAAATATTCTCAACATCCTTTCAAAGTTTCATGGCGATCGTGCGAACAGTGTCACAGCAATTCACTTTTAATATTTTTATATTCCGTATGTAGAGAAAAATCGCACCCTCCCGTGGCGCCGCCCTTGTGAAATTAAAAATGATTTTTTTTTTACATAACCCTTCCCCAGAGTGTTCTAATTAACTCAACAAAGTTTGATGGCGATCGGATGAATGGTGTCAAACCAAAATCGACTTTTATCTTTATATACCGTACATAGAGAAAAAACAAATCGCGCCCCACCGCGGCGCCACCCCTGCGAATTTGAAGTTTTTTTTTTCGCAGAAACCTCCCCAAGAATATTTTCAACAATTTCGCAAAGTTTCACGGCGATGTGATAAGAGGTGTAGTAATGCATAAAAGCAGTGGCGTAGCCAGGATCGTCTCAATGGGGGGGGGGGGGGGGGATTCAAATCTTTACCCGGGGAAAAACTTTCGATTTGCACCCCCCCTCACACTTTCGATTTGCACCCCCCCCCCCCAAACTTTCGATTTGCACCCCCCCCCCCCCTCTAAAACTTTCGATTTGCACCCCCCTCATACTTTTTATATATATACCGAGGGGTCTATGGGGGGAAGGGGTTATGATCCCCCCTAACCCCCCCCCCCCCTGCCTACGCCACTGCATAAAAGACAAACAAACAAACAAACAAACATTTATATATATATATTTATATATATATATATATATATATATATATATATATATATATATATATATATATATATATATATATATATATATATATATATATAATTATATATATATATATATATAATTATATATATGGGGCGCAACATTTTTTTTGGTGTGGCCCTTTTTTTCTATTTCCGCCAATGCTTGCCTTGGGCAGATGAAGCTCGTTAGCTGGGGACAGCCACTCTTCTAGGAGAAACAACTCCAAAATCAAACAACTGCTGGCTTGTAGTTTGTTCTTGGTTGGACAAAGGCTATGGAAGCAAATCCAAAAAAAAAAGCTGGTTGAAATCGGATTCAATGGCCTCAATGGTGCATAACCAATTGACACGTATCCTTAATTGTGATGGAGGCGTGGTCGAGTCGGCAAAAGCTCATGGTTGATAAATTCGAAAAAGTCTCGACTTCAAACCCTCTGGCAGATAAGGCTCGATCCCTTCCAACACTAAAAATTAAGAATGAAGAAGAAGAAAGAAGATTTGCCTAGTATTATCTTTTTCGCTGTATACATGCTAGGGGAATATAATGACATTAATAATTTGGAAATTCAAGAAAGAAAAGAGAAAAAAAAATATTTTGCATGTTTTGTACCAAGTATTCTTTTTTAATGACCGGGGTGAAATGTCACACCAAAGAAAAAGTGTGACATTTCACCCCAGCAGGGGGTTGTCTTAAAAAATATGGGACGGAGTGGTCTAGCGCAGGGGTCGGCAACCTGCGGCTCGCGAGCCGCATGCTGCTCTTTTGGTGTCCAGTTGCGGCTCTTCAGCTCCATGCACAAATATTAATAATTTTTTATTTTTTATTTTCAAAACTCATAAAAATATTAGTCTGCAACACTCGGTAATAAACGATATAACAATAGATATAAACAATAAACATTCACTATTATTTTAAAATATTTAGTTACTCCATATCTCAATGTACTTCCTATTACATTGTCAATTCCGAATTGAAACATTAAACATCATAGTGGATATCGCAAAGAAACTAAACCAGCTAAAAAACTGAAAGGAAAACCCGGACTATGTCTTGCTTGAAGAAGTGGTTTGTTTCGAAAAAAAAATACTTTTTTGTTGAATATATGGTGAGCGGTAAATTACTTAATTACAAAAAAAATCTGAAACAAATATCGTTATGAAACCAATGCTACTATTCAATCACTTCAGCATTAATATAAACAAAATGAAGGGTGTTTTCACTTTGAGATTTTAGCAATTCAAAAGAAATGCAAGTACTCTGACTTACATAGTAGATCCTCTCAACACAAATTCAAATGAGATTATCTCATATATTCAATGCTATTTATTTTTTAAATTATATGTATATATATATATATATATATATATATATATATATATATATATTTATATATAGGCCCCTATATATATATATATATATATATATATATATATATATATATATATATATATATATATATATATATATATATATATATATACTAGCGTACCCGTCCCCCGCGCGTTGCCGCGGAGATAGAAGAAAGTTTGACGAATGTATTAGGATTTCACCAACGCGTTACCAATCATATGTTCTTGGACGCGTGACCGTCTTTTCTAAAAGTGAGTTATTTAAATGTAAACAATGGATCATAAATATCGGGATACGGGTTCACCTACACTACCGCATGAATACATTGAGTGTACATTAATCGCTCACCGAAATAATATGGTAGAACACTTCGGTGACCGCCGTTGTGTCAGAGACGTAGAGGGGCGCTCTCAGGGCCCCCACCCCCCGATTACACTACCGCATAGGCGCGGCGTACGACCCCTGGCTCCTTAAGCAAGGTGACCAAACTGTACAGAAGGATTTCCTCTCGTTACAAAGTTAATTTTTTAAGCCTGTTGTAGTTTTACCGCTGAATATAGTAGTACCCCTTACTCGCTATGCAGGACGCTCGATTAACGGATGCCAAGTGCCAACATAGTCGCTCTAAAACTCTGGGCGCCCAACCGTGTATTGACGAAAGTTGTACCCTATATGGCGCCGCCCATAAGAAACTTTAGTTTTCTTTTTCGCAGAAATATTCTCGGAAGTATTCTCATCTACTCCCTAAAAGTTTCATGGCAATCTGATGAACCGCATCCGATTTTTATTTTTTATATACCGTGTATAGAGAAAAGAAATCGCCCCCCCCCGGAGGGCGCCGCCCTTGCAATATTAAACAATATTTTTTTTTGCAGATTCCTACTATTGAGTGATCTAATCATCTCCCCAAAGTTTCATGATACACGGATGAACGGTGTGAAACCGAAATAGACTTTTATTTTTATAAACCGTATATAGAGAAAAATCGCACCCTCCCGTGGCGCCGCCCTTGCAAAATTAAAAATGATTTTTACAGAACCCTTTCCTACAGTTTTATAAGGAACTCCCCAAAGTTTCATGGCGATCGTGTGAAAGGTGTCACCCCAATTCACTTTTATT